ACGACTTGAGGGTGTAAGGAGCTGAGGCCGAGGTATTAATTTATAAGAAATAAATGGAAATTAAGTTTTCTTTAAAAACTAAATAATATAACATTTATTATAAAAGAAAAAAAGAATTTAAACACTAGCATTACAAGTTGAGAAAGCTGGCAATTTATACGGATGATGTGTGTAAGTGTCGGATCGCAATTGTATGGAATTAAAATAAAAATGAGAAATAAAGTGTCGCGCTTAATTGAAAAAGTTACTAAGTTTTCCTTGAATATCTCAAAAAGTATTAAGCAAATAAAAGAATTTTTCAAACAAAAGTTGTTCAAATTAATTAATAGAGAAAGATGGTACAATAAAAAAATAAAAGTTTTCATTTAAAAAATTTGACTTAAGCCCTATATTTACAAGCCATGGATCCAAAATCCAATAAGATCTTCTATTAGCCCCTTTCAAACCTTTCAACTTTTATGAAACACTTTTCCAATAAACCAAGCCGTCAATTGACGAGATATTTAAGGAAAACTTGATAACTTTTTTGATATTTAGCTTGTGATATCTTGATGATTGTTTGCCAGAGAAAAAAGAGGTACAGAGGACTTTTTAACTTAATTTTATTTTAAAAATGTGCTGTTGCAAAAGTATATTCCAATTTTTTTTAAATATATGTGTATGCATCTTCTTAGAGTGTTTAGACTGAGAGAATTCCTTTCCTCATCTATCTCTCTTTACTTTACTTATTTTTTTTATCTACGTCAAATATCCATCTTCCTTTATCGTTTCTTGCGCACACAAAAGATTTCTAATCTAATTGAATTAATAAAATATCTTCCAACAATCGTGTCTGTTCGTTTGAGATTAAAAATAAGTTCTAAACATAAATTTTTTTAAGTTCTTCTTATTGCATAAGTTTTATCATCTCTTGATTGAAAATATTCTTATTTTATTTTAATAATGTATTTTATTTTATTTTTTGCACAAACATGTGGATATATAAATAATGGGAATACTTGATATCAAGAAGTTTTTCCTCCATGCATGAAGATGTTAGCCAAGCAGCAGTAAACGCTGCTAGAGTACATTACAAAAGGTGAGAGCAAAATGTGTTGTTCATGTTATACAAAATAATGCTCTCTATAAATATTAAATAAATGTTATAAATGTTAAACATCGCTGAATATAAAAATTTTATAATCAGCATTCACAAAATTATACGATATTTTCTTAACTTCTTACTCATTATTAACTGCTAAATGTATATGATTATAAATATGATTACCATACGGTTTAACTGAAACATTGAGAAATTTAAAAAAAACTATTTATAAAAAGATTTAAGACACATGTTATATAAAAAATAAATTTTTATTCTATTTAACTAGAATTAATTTTGTTGAATAAACTAACTTTGTATTTAAAAATTAATACTGTAGTTAATGTATTAATTGTATTTATTTTACATTTTTCTTAGAATGACACTGTTTGTTGCTGCATTTAAAATTTGCGTTGCCGTTGGCACATTGTGGGCGGTTTACAAGTGGAAAATTTACTCATTTATTTTAGTTTTTTATTTAATTTACTTCTTTAATTATATAATATAACATCTTTATAACATTGTATATCAATATTTGAGCTTGGTGTATTAAAAAGTAAGAATCAAACTAATTTTTTTGTGTAATTACATATTTCTACTTTTAATTTTGCTTTTTCCGCGACGGCTAGGTATACGTGTGCTTACACGCGTAACCTTTCCGCCGAGGGACACCATTCCTATCGATGCGTGTCCATCCGCGTCAATTTGTATGGTAATACGTTATAAAATATAAGATCTTAAAACATGATAAATCTGCAAATGTGCGTATAATTAGCGCGATTCAGTGGCGAAGAAAATAGCTTAACGTTACGCAACGATTGTGGTGGCTATACGTGCGGCGTAGTATTAATAAGAGAATAAGCGCGTGTAGATCTTTTTATTGATTTAATCCGTTATCAGTTTAATTCGCTTTACTTAGAGTCCTAGATAACAGAAAGGCGACATTGAAGAAAATGATCTAATTGACTAACAAGTAAATCACGTTATTCAACGCCATATTGTTTTCTACTATGAATAAATAAATAAGATGTAATGCTTATAAATATATTGCAAACACATTAGAAATAGAAACAAGCTCCGCTATAATTTCAATATATTGCCGTGAACTTCCAAAATATGCTTTACATGTCATCTTGCTCTAATCTGCTTTGACATCTCCTACCCAGATTCTACTGTCAGATGTGAAAAAATAAAATGGCAATTTTTCGATATATCGCACAATAATCGCACCCATCAATTTCAATGTCGTCTCTTTATTTCTAACTCTACCTGTTTACTCCCGCGACCGGTATTATATAAATTTTTAGACACTTATCAGTCTACACGGAAATTTTTTATGAAAGTATTTGCAAACAATCATAACAACTTTGCTAAAAATTCTCACATTACTGTGTGCGCTTACCGTGAATCCGCTTTAAACGTCATCGATTACGCCAGTATCAGATAGTATCAGAGAATTTTTTCACAAACATATAAATAAAATATTTTTTACAGAAAAAACCCGTTATTTTTATTCACACACAGTGTAAATATATATATATTTATTTATAAAATTGTAAAAATAAATTTTGATTGTAAAAATTTTTATAAGACAGACAAGACTCGCCAATTAAGAAACGGAAATTACTTCAAGAAACATATTCTGCGAACAAATATGCCAAAATATGTTACGCTCTTCGTGAGAAAATGTTCAGTATTAAAGATAAGAAATTAGAGGATGACAGAAACAGAGACATTATAACGCAAAAGATGAGTTTCATAAAACAAGTGATAACAATTTAAAGATTAGAATTTTAACGTTATTTTTGGATTGGACCTTTTCAGAAATTTTAACTCACTTCAAAGCTTCTAAACATATGATTACTGTGGCAAAGAAAGTAAAAGAAGAAAAAAAGATTTTATCATGCATAAATTTAAAGAGAGGAAAGCAATTGAGTGATGCGTTAGTTGAAAAATTCTTACAATTTTACGAGTCATATAGAAGCCCGAAAAGCAGTCGCAAAGCGCTGCGTGACGTCGTGCCTGACGACGAGCTGTTGCGATATTATTTGTTTACATTTGCCGTCTGTCAAATTCTTCGCTGGGCCTTTGTGTCGAACAGACGCACAAACGAAAATTGTTAAACATAGAGTGCAATCCAGTAAATATGAAATTCATGCAAAAAACGGTAATCCCTTCATAGACACAAGCTTCTAGGGTATAGTTTAACCGAAATGAATATCATTTTAACTATGTTTCAAGTCGCTGATAACAAATTCAAGCTTTAAATTTCAAAATTAATTTGTTTAAACAAATTATCTCGAAGTAAGATGTTTTATAAATTTTTATTTAAAAATCTGTGGATACAATTACATAGAAAAAACATAGTAGGCCTTCAAAGTAATATCTTTTAGATCCAAATTGTTAATAATAATTTACAATTATTTTTTTAACTTAAAGTATAATATCTTCTATATCTTTATTTAAAGGAATTAACGGAAGATTATCAAGCGAAATGAATATAATTTTCATGATTTTTGATAGCTGATTACGAATTCAATCTCAGAATTGCAAAATTAATTTGTTTAAACAAATTTATTTAAACAAATTATCTGAAAATAATATTTTTTATGAATATTTATTTCAAAATCATTCCGCAGATGGAATTACATAGAAAAAATAGAAAAAGCCTTCGAAGTAACACCTTGTAGATCTAAATTGTTAATAATAAAGGTTGATTATTTTTTTATAATATCTTTTATTTAGTAGATAAATAAAGAAACGCTCGTATGTCAAAATAAATAGGAATATAGGCCAACAATCGAGCAAACACGTAGATGTCAATTTAAAGTAAGTTTAATAAACATACTTATATACAACGGAACGTTTCAACCGCACAGGGTCTTCTTCAGCCGTTTTAAATTAAAAATTACATAGAGTCGCGCAAAGTGAAAATTAACATGTTAAAAAGTAATACAGTAAAAAATAAATAAATTAATACAGTAGAAAATAAATAAATTAAAAAGTAGCCATTTCTTGATAGTAAATGACAAAGCCGTCTGGAGTCACATCTCACATGAGAGCATTCAAATTAAACCTTGTATATGAATAATAAAATTGTATATAAATAAGTATCTGTGAGTCTATTGTAAAATGTAAAATTATATATATGTGAATGTCTATAGTCATTTCGCAAGTATGCAGTCAACTTTTATTTAGTATTAAACAATAAATACCGCGTCAAGGTAACAGTAATAAGAGGGGTTTTTTGTGATTTTATGCGTTTTTAATTTTTACTTGTCAAAAATTGTTCTGCTTCAAAAGTCAATTCTTGAACCTTTTTTGATTCTATCTCTCTCAATGAACTGAAATCAATGAATGTGAACAACATTTATCGTCAAGTCAGTCGTTTAGCTTGCACGCGCCGTCAAAGTTCGAGACTCGGATCCCGAAAACCCTTGATGTCATCGTTTTTTTTATGTTGCGTCGGTGATTTTTTTCTGTCATTTAAAATAAAATTAAAAATTCCAAAAAAATCACACATCATCTGAGAACTACACAGAATACTTTTCAGGGTGTAACCGATTTTTTAGACCTTTTTTCTTTAGTTTGTAGCTATGTAAGCAAAAAATTTTGATTTTTTGGAATAGTCTTAGTTTTTCACTGTTTTCAGGCTTTAGAATAGGTATACAGCATTCTAAAAGTGCCGGATGTCCTTTTCATTTCTCGGCTAATTTAAAATCGATTTTTATTCTTATCGAAAATGTTCGAGAGAAACCATCGTTTATTGTAACTTTCTCATTTCCATATATATCTCTTTAACTAACAATAAAAGACTCGTATATATTAAAATGTTATTGAAGTCAATTCTATCTGGAATTAAAACTGAAGCGAATAATTGCTATCTGCTTGGCTCCTCGAAATTTAATTTGCGAAAAGCTCATTCTCTTCGATCGCGTGTAACTCGAGAAACATCTCGATACCACGACAATTCCGCTGAAAAGAAAATCAAAGATCATCTAGATTAGTCATCAAAGAGACTGCCATTAAAAGGGCAAAGACTCGGTAGTTTCGGAGTACATAGCGTATTAGAGACACAGACGGTTGAAAGGGTGGAAAATTATGGGAGACGTACCTTTAGCTTTCCCGATGCCGCCGCAAATTCTCTCGCAATTGAAGCCAATGGTCGGCACGGTGTTGATATACTGATCAAATATGAGTCTGTACAGGGCGATCGTCTTCCCGGCATTGTCGAAACCAAGCATCGCCACATGGAGCAGAGTTCCCGTGCACAGTAAAAAATAAAATGTTAATCGTAACATTTTTCAAATGTCCCAGAAAGTCCACTCTAAATTTTGAGTTAAAATAACTCATTCATCGTGTGTTACTTGTTGATAAATTAGAAATGTTAATTTATTGACACTATATTTTACATTTATATTTGTTCTTTTAACTTTAAGTATAATGTAAAAATAACTTGTAAAAAATGTCGATATATAAACATATTTGAAAAAACGATAGTTATTTCAACTTAAGAGAAATGTTGTTTTGAACATTTGATTGTAGTAAATTTGATTATTTTGTATGTCAAAGTTTACGATTATTTGAAGATTTACTTTAACTTTTGTTTATGTTAAAATAACTTTAAGGCGTGTTGATTTTTTGAAATAATTATGTTAAAAGAACTTAAAATAATATTCAATTTCTAAATGACATACATAAAGTGTTAAGTTATCCCGTTGACATTAATATAACACATGAAAATGTTACGAAAATAATAACATAGCTGTTGTATGTTAATTTTACATTAAAATAATAGTCAAATCTTGGTAACACAAAAAAATTTTAACATTTGGACGCACGATTTTTTACTGTGTGCCTCAAGCAGACCGCCGCGGCGCCGGTCGTGCCGCTTCTTGCCCATCCCAGCACCTATCCCTCTCTCTTTCTCTCGTTCTCTTTCCTCCCCTATCTCGTCCTCGCCTGGTCTTGTTAAGAACTCTCTTTCTCTCGCTCTTTTTCTCTTCTATTTTGTTTTGATCCGGCCTAGCATCTAGATTCCCTTCTTCCCTTCCGTTCTACGCGAAATATCTCTTTTCTCCAAATTCAACCTTCGATGCCCGTAAAAGAACTCCGCCGCTGCGACGCTGTCCACTACCGCATCGTCTGAAAAGCAAGCGCGTTTCACAATTAACGTCTCTCAACCGGTTTCGCGCGAAACACAGGTGCGCTGCCTGAAGTATCTCGTCTAATAAGTAGGACTCAATTTCGATCAGGGCCAATTTTATACTAATTTGATTAACAAATAAAGTTAACAATGGATATTGTGAATACGCAATATAATTTCAAATTTATTACATAAATATAAATTCTATTATAATGTACATACAATTATTGGGAAATAAATGCATTTAAACAGTTGAAAAGTTTGTCTCAAATATAGGACGTTCACCGGTTATAATCGTAGCCAAAAGTTTCGCGCGTTCGGCTGTCTTTCCGTACAGCGCGACCTTCTCTCCACTCTACAATTTTTAACGTAGACTATACAGTGTTGCCACTTCTCCATGGTGACACCCTTCTAAATACCGTTAAAATACCATCAAAATACCGTTAGAACTTCGTGAAGAACTTCGGATTACAATTACACATAAAGTGTACCGCTACGTATCTCCATTTTGTAATATGTCATTCCTAATATCATATCATGCATCATATATTAGTTTTTTAGCAAAATACATAATCAAATTCTGAGCTGTGTGAAGTTAGCCTCCCTACTACTGAAAATCCAATAATAACTATTACCATTCATTTGGTGGTCGTTTGATGGTGTTTGGTAGTCCATTCCCGATAATTGGTAGTGAAAACAGTAATTAAGAATATGTCCGTTCTAGACTGGAGAATGAGCCGACTCTCGGCTCATCCGCCTTCTATAGTGTACGTGACATAAACTATACATAACTTATAGATTTTTACCCGTCTACACCACTCACTCGGATGAGCCGAGAGGATCGGCTCATCCTCCAGTCTAGAACGGGCAATACGAAAAAAAGGCATATGCGCGTGAAGTTAGCCGCCCCTCTTGTAAAACTTCGGCTACGGTCAACGTGACGCTACAAATGCTTCGAAGCATTCCTCTTCTCTTTTCTTTCAATGAAGAAAGAAGGAGAAGAAAAACATTCCAAAGCATTTGTAGCGTCACGTTGACCGTAGCCTTCATCTTCCCGCGGAATTAGGGAGTGGTCATCAAATAAAAAAGCAGGTTTTCTCCCAGAGTCTTTAGTGTTCGAAAGTCACCTGTGAAGTGAAGTCACCTGCAGTGCTCCGGCGATCGGTGAGTGAATTTTACTTGAGAAATAAGTGTTTTGAAGCTATATATCCGAATCTTAGTAGAGTCGTTGTCCCGCGTGTCGCAGTGAGGGACGATAACCTCGGAATTCGCGTCTCTTGCCTTTGTTTCGATTTCTACTTCGAGTGAGTGAATCGCGCGGGAAGACGTTTCGGTGAATGGCTCGAACCTCTCGTTAAGTGCGGGAATTAATAATTAATTGAGTAATTCAAGAGAACGATCGCGCGTTTGGCATTCTCATACTACGTTTACGCGAGCGTTACTTCTGATAGTAACTTACGATAATTCCTTCGCGTAAACGGGATTTTCCTTCGCGTAAATGGGATTTTGTAGTAACTTATGATAATTTACTCCGCGTAAACGAGTGAATTATCGTAAGTTACTACAGAAGTAACGCTCGCGTAAACGTAGTATCACTTTGCTTGTCGCAATTGCGAACGATAATTCTTTCACGTAAATGGGATTTTCCTTCGCGTAAATGGGATTTTGTAGTAACTTACAATAATTTACTCCGCGTAAACGAGTGACATATCGTAAAAAGTTACTACAGAAGTAACGCTCGCGTAAACGTAATAATAATATAGCAATATAATATATTGCTATAAATAAAAGTACGTACCTATATATTATTATGTATACACAAACACACATACTTACACGTAGTGTATAATAATTATTATACGCGTGAGTATATACTACATATACATATGTATATGCACATATGCATGTTTATGTGTCGTTTATATATACATACTCTTTGATCTATTCCTATTGTCTATAACAACTTTTACCATTATTGTGGTCAAGTCGATTTGCACTGTAAAGGCTGGTCTACAATACCAGAGAGAAACCTAAGAGCGGCCACAGATTAATAGACAGATAGCCAATGGCCCCTCAAAAGTCGAGACCAGCATTTCCGCGCTTTAATTACCGACACACTTTGCCCCTTACCGACAGACTTTGCCCCTAGGATTGAGTCCGGACTAAATCACATTACAGATTTTGCCCCTGGTGCGAGTCCGAACTAAATATACCCGATTTTACCTACAAACCTTTACTTTAGCATAATAAATTTTAAATTTAATATTTAAATGCATACCAATAATTATATTATTAACTATATTGAGAAAAAAATGGTAGTTTATAATGTTTCTTGCACTCTTATTAAATTTATTTTACCTAATGCATGTTCAAGCGGCCAAATTACGAGCAACAACAGAAGGATAATTGAATAAAAATAAAAACACTTTCTTAAATAAACAATACACATGGGTAACAGTCAGTTCTATTATAATTCTCGTATAGTTCTGAACGTGTTCTAACGTTTTCTAAAGTTCTGACAATAAGCATTATTTATTTATATTTTAAATAATTTTTATCTCCCAACAAAGACGCATTTATGGGTATATGGGTGAGACGCTGTAGAAAATCTCGGAGTTCTGGCTTATATAAAATATTTTTCGTACAGTTCTAAGCATACTAAAACAATTTCTAAAGAGTTCCGGGCATTGGCAATGTTGTATAATTTTTAAATAAATTAATAACGCACGAAAGTCAGGAATTTATCGAGAATAGGGTCTTTCTCGAACGATAAAAATTATTTAAAAAATGAATAAATAATGCTTATTGCCAGAATAAAATGGGACAACGTTAGAACACGTTCAGAACTACACGAGAATTATAACAGAACTCACAGAACTGTCGAAATACGGCCAGCGTTTCAGCTTATTTTCGATAAATTCCTGATTTTCGAGCGGTATTAATTTATTTAAAAATTATACAACGTAGCTAGTGTTTGTTAAAGTTAATAAACATATATATACAACGTAGTTAGTGGCGGAAACTCTTTAGAAAATGCTTTAGTATGCTCAGAACTATACGAAAAATATTTTATATAAGCCAAAACTCCGAGATTTCGCACAGCGTCTCATCTTCTTCTGTCATGATTATTTTTCGGTTAATATTAATTTTTTTCAATATAACACAAAGATTCTAACGCTCGGAACTCTTTATTATAGAAAATGTTTCAATATGCTCAAAACTACTCGAAAAATATTTTACATAAACCGGAACTCCGAGATTTCAACTGGCGCCTCAACTCGGTACACTCGTTGCATTGTAATTTTTTTTAGTACCTTATAATTAATTGTTTTGCTTTTTCATGGCAGAACTCTTTATAGAACTGTTATAGAACTATAGATCTTGCAAAATCTGATGAGATACAGTGGTGGAACTTGTGTAAGACAAAGTGAGACGCTGCGTGAACCTGTAATAGCGTCTCAGTTTGTACTGACGCGTTTTTATGGCTTTAATGGCCAGAACTATTTGTTTAAACTATCAAGAACTCTAGAACTATTAAAAAGGAAGCCAGAACTCTCAATAATTTGTGAGTTTCTGCAAAATGAGACGATAGCTTCACATACACGTCAGGAAGAGAATGTAAAGAATTATTAACGGAGATGTTCTAATTTAAAAGATCTTTAAAATATATATTTTTCATGAATGTTTTATATGGAAACGAAGAAAGTGTATAACGTTAAACTTTGCATGTTTTTTTTACTTTATTTTAAAAATTCATTTTTATTTTTTAAGTAACAAAAATGCTCTTTCTTTCTGTTATATCCTGGTCACTATAAATGACAGACCGATGTAACTAATTCTAGCTGTTTTAGGTATCTGAAACGCAAAAAGCTAAAATTTTCTTATTCTGCAGGAGAAGTGTGGCTATCGTCTGAACTAGAACTAAATCAATATTTCCATTCTGAGCGGCTTTTTTATTAAAAATATTATAACTTTTTTCAAAATTTCATTAGTATTTTATTTAAAAAAAATGTTTATTTTAGTTCAGACGATAGTCATATTACTTATTTTGAATAAGAAAATTTTTGGTTTTTACGTTTCTGATACCTAGAACCGCTGGAATCATTTACTTCGTTGCTCATCATACTTACGTCTTTTAGTGATCAAGATATAACATAAAAGTAACAAAAAAGAATATTTTTCTTACTTAAAAA